CTCTTTCCCAGCCCTTTCCTTTCTTTGTGGTAAGAACTCGAATAAATTTTGAGCCATGACAGACATTTAATTTTACCTGAAGTTGTTTAGAAGTTAGCATTTTATTTAGGATTTATTTTTTCATTCTTTAATTTCAGTTAATAAAAATATCTGCTGCTTGGCCCCTCTCTGGGCTGAGGAATCTTGGAGAAAGGAAAAGCAGCAAAGAGTGTATACAAATAGAAGTTTTTTTTTTAATGGTTCAGAGATTCTATATAATTTTTAAGAGATCTTAAAGAAGCGTGTGCTGTTGGTAGAGGAGCAGCACATTCTCCTTTGGTAAGATATTCTGTGAGTATCTTCCTATATTCCTATAACAATTTCTATTTTACCTACTTAAAACTGATGTTCCTTATGCTATCTATACTGAATCCTCAATGTGAAAGTTTCTGACTCCATGGTGATTTGGTTTTGTTTTGTTTTTCACTTATTTCAGGTTTACTGGGAAATACATAGCAATTCTGACATCTCAGGTGACTTCCTTCAGAAAGAGGGGTCTGTTGTCATGGCTGACCAACAGAGCACGGCCGAGATAATTATCTATCTGCTACCTGATGATGTTCCAGAGCTGGATGAAAACTATGTGGTACAGCTGATTTCAGTGGAAGGAGGAGCAGATCTAGACCAAGAGAAAATAATTTTAAAATTCAGCATTTTGCAAATGATGATCCCTATGGGGTGTTTGCCTTGTACTCAGATCAGCAGGCAGTATTAGTAGAGAGAGGTCTTAGTCGGTACATTCAGATTAATGTAACTCGGCATGCTGGAACATTTGGAGAAGTGATTGTTGAGTACCAGATCTTGTCTCATTACGAAGAGAAATTAATTGCACCAGAGGAAATAGTGGGATACCTAGCAGTAAAAGACGGTGCCAGATTTGGAGTGAAAAGAGTGCCAATAACCAGCCAGGTCTGTAATATCCTTTCAGCTCCTTCGATAGCTATTGTTTACATTTCTTTCACCATAATACAAAAGTGTTGAAATAAGATATTAAACTCTCAATAGTACATATTGTTAAGATGCAGAAAAGAGTTCAGTTTGTCCCATCAATACTTAATGTTATTATCGTTTCTGTTTTTTTAATCATATGCATCCATTTTTGTTTCAAGTTCGCCTTTTGAATTGCCAGCAGTGGTCTGTGAGACTCATGAAGCAGCAGATACGTTTACCTTCAGTTTTCTGTACTAATGATTTATTAATTTTTTAAAGTCTTGCATCTACACTTCAGTAAAACATAAAGATTAAAAGTGTACTGAGACCCACTTTGTTAGATACAGCTTTGTTACATGTAGCTCAAAAAAATGACAATAATTAATTACCTTACAAGCATTTCCAATAAACTGCTTCACGACATTAATGTTTAATCTGTAGCTATTTTGAGAAAGATTGTCAATAAATTATTTGCCTTGAAAAGATTGGTTTTTTTATAGAGGAAAAAAGAAACCCTGGAATTGCACATGATTCTGTTGCATAATCCTTTTTGGTGGATATGGTGTTTTGGGTAGAATTAAATTTCTACCTCTTTATTTAAATTCTTTCAAAGGCATTTCTTCTACTGGGATTGAATTTTACTCTAGAACTGATAAGTGTAAGCCTGGCAAGGGGAAGTGCCAAGGATCTGCCTAAAATTTTAGAAAATGCAAGATCGGCTATTCTGCTTGTCCCTGAAGAAGCTGCCAATTCACAAGTGAGTAAACTGGCTGCAATGCAACATTTTTACCACAGGAGGGAGATACACAACACTTCATTTCAAGTGATACCCGCTTTAGGGGGTTGAACAATTTCCATAATCACTGTCAATTGACAAGATGCTCATTTTAAAATAAATTTGTGAGTTTAAACATGCCTTCCTCTGTCATTCATACTTTCAAAAATCCCAGAGTAAATAGTATAAAACTTCTGTTTCCAATAAATGAACTCTCTAAGACTTTAAGGAAAATGATTGATTCTGGGCAATGTTACGTCTTTAGATAGGGCAGTCCAAGGAGTAATAGCATGTACACAGTAGTATGTACAACGAGAGATAGCCCTGCAGCTGTTGCCCATGAATACAAAAATCTGAGTTATGAGAGTTTCTTTTCCAGGAGATATAGTTCTCAAAAATCTCATCTTTATAAATGTTGTTAAAGGCTGTGAAAGAATTGTGGATGCATACATAGTTATTTTATTTGCTTAAGTATGCTTGCCCGTATGTTGTCCGTTCTTGCCTCATCTGAATGCAGCAAAATTTATTATGTTTCCATAGGTTGGCTTTGAATCTGTTATTTTACAACTTACAAACATTGTAACAGGAACAGGCCAGGCTGTGATAACCAGAGAAGGAGTTTATGGTTCTGTAACAGTTAACTGGGCTTCTTGATATTCACCAGACATAATCACTGACTTCGTTCATCTAGGCAATATTACTCCCTCATTTGGTGAGTATGCGGAAAGAGCTACACAATCTCAAGGTGATGAAACCTCATTTTAATTGTTTGTACCTATGCATGTTTGCTCGCTTAATGAAGCATCTTTTGAATGAAAGCATGTGGTCTGCTATATTTTTTCTGTGATTGATGTATTTATTTAGTCTGTAAGGAAGAATTGTGCCACATAACTATATGTCTGTGAGCCAAAGACAATATCATATCCCTAAAGAACAGCTTTATAAAGAAGAGACAATAGACTTCTGTTGTGCAGATTTCCCCTTCCTGAATGGAATGGCATTGTGATTAAAGTCCCTATCTCATCCTGTTCCTGGATGCAAAGATGATTTCTATTCAGTGAATTTGAGTTGTACTGTCTCTCTCTTGTCTCTCTGTCTTAATTCAGGTAGTGCTGTATTTTCTTCTGGTGAACAGAGCAAAGTCATTTCATTTCAGGCTACTCCAAGCCTAAATAAACACGAGTCATTTGCCATCTGTTTAACAGCAGTGCACAGCAATGTGCCTGGTGGGGCTCGCTTGAGGTAAGAATGTTAGAATATTTGGTTGCACACATGCTGCAAGAATTGTGATCTGGGTACAGGCGTACACCTCTACAAATCTCTATTAAATTACATAAATGTATGAATATGTAATCTCTTTGATAAATTTGTGAATCTTATCTCAGGTGGAAACAAGATCTGCAGATCAGAACTATGTCTTTTCTCAAAGTCAAGTCTATTTTATACTAATTAGATCCAAGGTATAATAGGCATGGTGGCAGTGATGGAGGCAGTTAAGGAAATGAAGCCAGATCGACAGTATTAGCTAGATAGTGAAATAATAAAAGTGAAAAAGGTTTAGATCAGAGTATCTTCTCATGACATTTTTTATTACTTGTCCTCTAACAGTTCTTATTAATATCCCTAAAGTATCATAATTAGATGATCTTTAGTAACAAACACTATTTTAAATAAATAAATTGAAATGAGCAATGCTCAGAAGATCTCAGTTATTTCATTTTTCAGGTGTTCTATTCTTTAAATTCTTTTCATTGTTCCTTACTCATTGCTGTCTAAAACTTGTATTATAAAAAGAATGGACTTAAGAATAACAGTGTAACAAGAAAGGTATTGACTGCACCGTTTTACTTCCTTCAGAGATGCCAGTCTAGTTCTAACGTATAAACTTGTACCTAAACTATGCTGCCTGCCCTTTTCTTCTAGGCTTCTAAGTTCTTCAGGCTGGTGTCCTATAAAATTAATAATAATAAATTCTTTCTTATACTTGCTTCCACCTTGAATCTATGCTGCCGAAGTTTCCTAGAAAACTTAGATTCCACAGGAAGCAAACACGACAATTACTCTGAAGGTTTTGTGAGATCCTCAGAGGATGGAAAGGGTCCAGTTTATTAACCAAAATCCAACAGTGTAATAGCAATGCTGCTTGGTAGCCTCTGGCATTGGATACTGGGTCAGTTCGAGAGGAGCAGAAGACCCACGGTTTAACAGAAGCTCTTTTTCACGCAGATTAACATAGTCTTCATCTTTGTGCTTGTTTTTCCCATAAGATGGAGATAGGGCATAGGGATTATCATTTTTTTTCCTGAAATCTGGAAAAAAATGATAATCAGAAATATTTTAAGGAGGCAGTGCATTGGAATACCATTGTAAGTCTTAAAATAACATGCCTTAATTCTTTAGCTTCTTAACTAAAACTAGCTCTGGTAACATCCTTCTGGGCAGCAGTTTTCTCTCTGTGTAGAAAGTTGTTCTGTGGTTAAACCTATGTTATTCAGAATGGATGCATTAAAATTCATCTCTTTGCTTTGTGATCAGGATAGTAAGACATTGTACATTTCTCCTCCATTTTCTGAGAAATACCTTGTTTTATTTAACCTTTACTGTCCCTGATATTGATTTAGAGTGAGTTCAGCCTGTGGAGGGCTATTTGGCTTGATTATTCAAAAAGTGCTTTTTAGGGAACTTCCTTATATCTTCTCTCATACTGTTGCTTTCTCTTCCCTTTTATCACCCAAATTCTAATTTTTTTTTCATCCCTTTTCTCACAGCTATCTTGATTATTCACTGGAATTATCATTGATTGCTCATAGGAAATTATTCTTTTTGGTTGTTTCCTCACTCAACTTATATGTTCTCTTTCAGGAGAGGATTTACAATAGCTGAAATTGAGCCATTTGGGATCTTCCAGTTTGCATCTAACTCGACATATGTTTCAGTTGAAGAAGATGTTCAGACAGTCACACTACATGTCCAAAAACTGTTCGGTTTTCAAAGTAATTTCACTAAGTTGACATATCAGACTATTCCAGGAAGTGCCAAACCACTAGAAGACTTTAGACCCATCTATAATGGAGAACTTATGTTTGCACAATTTCAGACAGATGCTCTAATAGAAATATCTATAATTGATGACACTGTTTCTGAAATGGAGGAATTATTTTTTGTTAATTTGACTGCTGCGGAAGCTTTGGGTGTCCAGCCATTGAATCCTAACTGGAGTCCGCGTCTGAATCCAGCTTTCAGTGTTGCAACAATTAATATCCTGGCAAATGATATTGTTCATGGAATACTCAGTTTGGGGCCAGAGTTTGTTTATATTGAAGAAGATGCAAAAAACAGTACCCCCAACATGGCAATACTTCATGTTAAAAGGACCCAAGGTTTTGATGGTGATATTTCAGTAACAGTTAAAACCTTTGGTGGAATAAGTGCACAGAGTGGGATAGATTTGTATCCTTTTGAAAATGCTTATGGAAAATCAGACTTTACATGGGCAATGGAAGGAGAAGATTTTGAGGAACAGTCAGTTTCTCTGACTTTGCTGGATGGAGAAAGAGAAGGGAAAGTGTCCATCAAAATTTTGGATGATGATGAGCCTGAAGGACAGGAATTGTTTTATGTTTTCCTCTCAGATCCTGAATGTGGAGCTCAGATTGTGGAAGGAAAGGATGATTATGGATTTGCTTCTTTTGCAACAGTAGTTATTGCAGGTAGCTTCTCTCTCTCTCTCTCTCTCTCTCTCTCTCTCTCTCTCACCAAAAAACTAATAGTTAAGTCTGAATAAACTGATAGTAAACAACTCCAATTTTATTTGCATTTTTCATGTAAATATTGAGATTTCTTATGGGCAATGGCCAGGGTATTTGATTCTCAAATCTGATATCTTGGCTAATGCTTCTGCAGCAAACCCCACCATACTTCACTTAGCAAGGTATTTCAAAGTACACTTTGTTTGTACTCCCTCTGTGCACGCTGCTCACATCCACTCTTGTCCTGTTTTACTTGATGAAGAGAAAGGCTAATCTTGAACTGTATTCCTTCATGTGTAAAGGAATTGTGTTTCCCTTGTGAATGTTGATCAGATTTTTCCATTTTCTGTTAAGAATTATGTTTGAAGATAATGTGAAGTTTTTTAAACAAGTTGGGAGTAAGAACACTCCAGTAGGTTCGGGGCTTTCATAGAACCATAGAATGCTCAGGGTTGGAAGGGATCATCTAGCCCAACCCCCCTGCACACGCAGGGTCACCTAGAGCACGTGGCACAGGACTGCATCCAAGCGGGTTTGGAAGATCTCCAGAGAAGGAGACTCCACAACCTCTCTGGGCAGCCTGTTCCAGTGCTCTGTCACCCTCACTGTTAAGAATTTTTTCCTTAAGTTCCTGTGGAACTTTTGGTGCTTCAGTTTGTGGCCATTACCTCTAGTTCTGTCGGTGGCCACCAGTGAAAAGAGGCCAGCACCATCCTCTGCACTGCCTCCCTTGAGGTACTTATAGACACTGATCAGATCCCCTCTCAGCCTTCTCTTCTCCAGGCAGAACAGGCCCAGCTCTCTCAGAAACTGTTGTTTGTTTTAAATAAAGCAACTCATATGAGAGATCTGGCTGGACATTGTGTATAAGCAGGCACTTTGAGCAATTCAGAATAGATTTTAAGAATCATATTCTGATCTTGGCTGAGTGTATGCAACAACTGGAATTACATATGCAAGAACAAACAGTTTAAATTGTACGTTCCATTGATAGGCACAGTCATTAGAGTTCAGCATGCAAATAACCCAGTGCCAGCAGATGCAGTTTAGCTGAAGAGTTGCATGTGTCAGTGCAGGCTGGAATTTGAACTTGTACAAATCCCATAGGAGTGTGTTAAAATGTATATTAACATGGATTTGTGCTTCAGGTAAAATGAATACAGAAAATAAGATCCGGAGACAGCACTGGCAAAGGAGAAGGGCAAAGCATGCATCTGGTTTAAACATATAGTTAGAAAGATATTTCAGGTTAAATATTTGTCCATGCACAGAAGCAAACATGCAGGTTGTTTTTTCTGTGTATATATATTGACATTTAAACATGCACAGAGTCTGAGCTAGATTCTCCTCCCAAATGTACAGGTAAGCTGGCATAAGCTATACGGAAAAATTGGAATTTAATGGGAGACTATGAAGGCATTAGTGTTCCTTAATGAGTCCTGTTTTATTATTTTATTTTTTATTTGTGATAGCTTTTGTTTTATTATTAATACTCCCTTGCTATTTATGTTCTTGTGCAAGCAGTGCAGTATTTCCAGCTCCCTAGTTTTGTCCACTGAATTAAGGATGCAGGAGAAAACCTGAACTACTGCTCTGGGAAAATGAAAATCCTGAAATCAAGGGACACAAAATTCAGTCATTTTGCTGAATCTTGTGGAAGGCGCAGGGTTATTTACATAGGTGCTGCCAGGATTATTTATTTTACCAGTTAAAATTTAAAGTTGTACCAACATTAATGTTCTAGATGAATATGGAGAGCAAATGAAGAGCTGCATTGTTAAGAGGTTTTTTTTTTCCTATTCCTTGGAAATGTTCCCTGCTGGTATTTTGCAACATGCTTCAGATAACTTTCCTCTTTTTAAAGCAGTTTTCTACATGAAAAAGAATACAGTTTAGTCCCAACTTAGTTTTCTTGCGAATTACTTTCATGGACTATTTCCTGTATAGGAAACGATCTGCAGAATGGCATTTTGGGGTTCATTCCAGAAGTGCAAAGTGGACTTGTTCTTGATGAAGACTCACAAAACAGAGAGGTGCAGCTGATTGTCACAAGGCAACCAAACAGGTGCTGGCAAAAACCAATAAAAGTGCTGTCCCCTTGTGCTGTAATGTGCTATGTTGAATCAACACAACTGTTAGTGGAAAACGTTCATCATATAATTTTATAATAAATTGCACATTTCAACTGCTTTAAAAATTACCTAGAATTTGGCATACTTAAGTTGTAAATGTGGATAGGTTTGTCACTGTGCTTTTGCTAAACAGAAACAGGAAAAACAATTATTTTCCAGCTTATACCATGGTGCAGGAAACGTGAGAGTAACTTTCCTGTTACTTAATGCTAAGTGTTTACTTCTCTAAAGGTGCGGGTAAATGCAAAATCTTGTTTACTAAGTGTCAGCATTATGTTTGTGTCTTTCATGTAGATAATTTGCTTTTCCTAATTAACATGTGTTTACTTTGCATCTTTATATGTATTCTGAAAAATTATACTCAAGTACTCTAAGTTAATTTCAAACTTACAGGGAAGTATGGCTTTCCAAGTAAATGTTTCCCTTTATATAAAGGAAAGCTCTTGGGCACACACCTCACTTTCAGGCTGCAGTGACTCTTATTTTGCTGATCTCATATTTTTTGAAACAAAAGTTGAAAAGCCAATTGGTCTGGGTGCCCCAAATTGCTTGATTTTTATCGCTGTGTTACATTTTTTGTAACCCAGTAAGGTTTTAGAGGAAGTAATTTAAATCAAAAGAAAGAAATTTTCTTCTGAAATCAGTTTCTTCCCTAGTGATAAGTTTTGAATATTAATGAAAACAGATGCGACTCTAGTGTGTATCTTTCCTAAAGAAAGAGCTGTTTCCTACAGTAATATGTATATTGTTTTGATTTGCTTGTAGGGCTTTTGAAGATGTGAAGATATTTTGGCGTGTGACCTTTAATGAAACTTCAGTTGTCCTTCTTAAGGATGGCATAAACTTGGAGAAGGAACTTGTGTCTGTGCTAGGATCCACCACCTGTTTGGCAGGTCAAACACTGTGCAACATCTCTGTTGAAATACAACCTGATAATGTAAGTAATTTTTGCTCTTAATGTTCAGTACTGTGATCTTGGATGGCAATATATTGAGATGGAAAATAATCTCTCATCTAGAGAAACTGTGATAGGGTAGAGTTTGAAGATGGTAATGTGGCATCTGCTTTTTTTTTTTTTTTTTTTTTTTTTTTTTTTTAAAACCTTTTTTTTTTTTTTTTTTTTTTGCAAACACTGGCTTTTTTTTAAGGGTTGTAAACTCCTCCATTTTGCTGGCCTCCATTGTGACCAGTAAAAATTCAGGAAAGTGATAAGGGATGAATTTGCATTTTTCCTACCACAATCCAGGAAGTAATGCAAGGTGTTGGAAGTAGTGATTAGAAAGTGCATTCTCATAGCTGAATGGGGAAGCCATTCTCAGAGTCAATGAATAAAATGTATGGACTGTAGTAGGGCATTGGCTGCCTTGCCGAGTAAATTGGGGTTTTGAACCTGGTTAGTCTAAGTAATTGTATCATTATTTAATCACAGCAGAAAAGGCAGAGATGTGCAGTTGAGCCACGTAAAGAATGAGCATATGCAGTTCTAACAGGTGCTAATGGAAAGCTCAGGTTCCCTATGGCATTCCAGTAAATCTGGTCCTGACATCAGTCTGTCGAGATTATTTCATTTAAAGAATTACTTAAGAACACTTTCCTCAAAACAAACCAATTAAAAATACATGCTTTTTAACCCTCCCAAATATTTCTTAACTCTCCTTCCAGTTAAGCATGGTTTATACTATATTTATTAGTAACAAATACCTTCTGAAATAGTGAGGTGATAGATGCACTCAAATATTTTACATTTTTATAGTATGGAATATTCTAGATTTTGAAGGTTTTGACTTAGTCGGCTGTACTGATTTAGCTAAAAGTTGAACCTTGTTTTCCTAAGAGTTACAGTATAGTTTCCAAAAATCCGAAACAAAAACAAAATGGTATATTTACTAATTAAAAATGTGTGTGATACATTTTTTTTTGCTGTAATGCAATGTTCTTATGCAGAGCCATTTTTTTCTTTTTTTTCCTCCCTTTTAAAGCATTTTTAAGCCAGGATTGAGCAATGGAAACAGATCTTCCTCCCTTTTGCTTTTATTTTTGCCCTCCTCCCACACCGCCGAGCTGACCAGATATCTGTTCTTAAACATAGTAGTCAATAGACTGGTATTTATACTGTAGGTACAAAATCAAAGATTAGGTCCCATGTCATATTGAACTTTATGACTGCTGACTTATTTTCAATCAACAGTTGAGCTTTAACACTGTAGAATTCTTTGATATGCCAACACTAAAATTCAATCAGCTGTATTTCCGGACACATAGAAATTTTCTATTAATCTTAAATCTTTGAAGATCTGACCGATAATGTATGTAGATTTATTTAGCATTCAGACTAGATTTTAGATTTAGTTAAGCATTCAGACCTTCTGAGTTTTTCTTATATTACTGTAAATAATAAAGTTGTATCTTTTTTTTTTCCAAAACTTTGCATACGTTACATGAGCTGTTGACTCATTACAGTCAGTATTAATTGCAGTTTCAAATTTGCATACATTTATGTGCATTTCTTCCCTTGGTATCTGCCTATATGCCTTTTGTGTAAGACAAAAAGAAAGTGAGTGAACAAAATTTTCAAAAATGTACACCTGTGTAACTCCATCACCTGGAAAACTGAGTTTTTAAATTTTTACTCTCATGTCCAGTGGGAAACATACAGCCACAATATATGTAGTATAGAAATAGCTATTTTGTTCGAATAAAGTGAGATCACATGTGAAAACATATAACATTTCTCTATTGTGAATGACTCAGTGCTGCAAAACTAACCTTTTAGAATATACTTTATTGTGCTTATCAAACCTCTCAAGAAGAATGATAGTACAAGTAATTCATTGTGCTTATAGAATAACGTACCATTTCTTAAAGCTGGAAATAATGAACCTTATAATGATATTTAAATCCCATCTCATTTACAGGTACCTGAATTTGAAATGCATTTTTTGGTTGAGCTGTATGCAGTAAGTGCAGGAGCTGTGTTGAACAGCAGTGCCAAATTTGCGCTTATAACAGTCCTTGAGAGTGATGCTCCTTATGGTTTAGTGTATTTTGCTGTGGGATCTCGTTTTGCTGTGGCTCACAAGAAGGCTACGTTAATCAGTTTGCAAGTGCTCAGAGATTCTAGTATGTCAGCAACCACAATGGTCAGCTACAGCACACAGGTAAGATTGACACATTATTAGATAATTCTTTATTCTCTAAATAGCAAATGTGACTGCCATTAGCATTTTTTAGGAAACAGTCAAACATTCACTGAGCCCAAGTAATCTAGCTTTTTAATTTTCCTGTTATTAAAAAGATGTAACTTTCATTGCATTGTCGAGGATGAATTGTTCTCAGTACCTTCAAAGCCTCAAAGACTGTGCTGAGTCATGCTGTTCTGATACTATTCTGAGACAACTCACCCTCAAGAATTAGATTCTATCACACTTGATGTGTTAGATTACAGGTTTATTTATACACAGAGCACATTCGGGAAAAGAGTATTTTCATCAAATTTTATTCCATGTTCTGCAAGTGCCAATCTTGAAAATATATTGTGATTCACACTCTCATAGGGCCAGCTGGATTATATCATTCCTATTTATTTTTGGAATGTGTATGATAGTAGCACTAGACTGTTCTGTTTTACCTCTAAATGAGTGCTGCATTAGCAGATGATGAGCATTCCCCTGTAGTAGAAATGGTACAGCTGCAGAAACTTCATTCCTTTCATTTTCTTAAAGTTGCATCTCTAAAATCAAGGCATATGGCTGGAAGAATTTCTCTACATTTCTCACTGTGTCGGTATAGTATATGTAGCTTAGCTTGATTTACACTGAGCATGCTGGATTTTACACCAATTGGCATTATTATGAGGGAGTCTTTCATCCTTCTTTTTAATACAAGACTTTGTATGCTATTACTCCACTGCATGTGCATATATTTTAAAGAGACATGGAATAATTTGGTGTTTACAAGGGTTTATTATACAGTAGCTTGCCAGTGTATTGGTTAGATTTTGTGCGAAAAGATTTTCATGTTCTTTCCAACCAAGAGAGATGTGGTCATTATAATTTAGCTGTTAAACACACAAAGATTTGCCACTGTTCAGTGTTTGCTTAGGGTAAAATACAAATAGCAGTTCCTTTGCCATTTGTATTTCATGTAGACTACAACCAACCCTGCTTTGTACAATTTTAGGTTTTGAGTACTAAAGTACATGAGAGAGGAAAGGTCATGGCAGGCAGTAGTGAGTAGTGGTGAGGTGCTTACTGGCAACAGATGTTTATCTCACTCCTACAAAGGGATGTTTTTAAAAAATTATTCTTGTCACTAATACTTATATTATAACTTATTTCCCTCTTCCCTAAATCTCAGTTGGAAGAGAGAAACAAAAGGAAGCTTCTGCCTCGAATTGGCGTGGATTACATGAACATGCTCTAAAGCAAATATGAACAGATATATCCCATACTGATAAGCAGTGTTCTCCTGAGAACTCAAAATGTGTTACTTATTCCAAATAAATGAAATTTAAATGCCTTTACTAGTAAAAGCTACAGGATTCAAAGGTGGTTTTTCACCAATAAAAAATCCTTACTTTTGACAGTAACAGATGTCCTGAAACTTAGGTGAGAGTTAGTATATAATCTGTGCTTGTTAAATAAGTGGATTGTATTCCAAAAATCATGCATTTAAATATTAGCCCAGAGCCTTAGTTTCCACTTATGGTGTCTGACAAAGTTATGGTATCTGACAAAAAAGAGCAAGAATGTGAAGAATGAAACAGTATCTGCAAATCCTATGGAAGGTAAAAATAGTGATACTGTGCAGGAAGATGAGGCCATATAGCATTGCTAGTTAAGTTCATCTGTCTGCCTGGCATGTGTATTCTATAGTGTTTGCTTTGCCTTCGGTCCTAAATGGGATGATTCTTGTTTCAGCTTGTTTGTGCTGGGACCTAAAATATCCTGAGCTGATATTGGTTTGGGCACAGATTTAAGAACCCTTTCCTTGACTTTTTGTTTATTTTTCACTTATCTGAAATGCCTATCTATTCCTTTAGTTGAAGGATTTTGTGCTGTGGATAAACTTATTTCAGTCCCTCTGCAGTTTTTGCATCTGTTTTTGAGCAATCATAATTATTTTAAAGTTACCTAAACTCTTTTGGTTTGCTTTAAGGAGCTACAAAAACCTGAACCTATTGGCCGGACCTTCGTATCTCCAGCTGTTGCAGGACAAGATTTTATCAGATCCGAAGGTTTTTTGACTTTTGAACCTGGTCAGAAAAATGCTTTGCTGGAGGTGACCCTGACTCCGGAGGCAGGATCCTTAAATCCATTTCCTAAACGTTTCCAGGTTGTGCTTTCTAATCCCACAGGCGGTGCCAGAGTAGATGATGCATATGCTATTGCTAACATCACCATTGTCTCAGATTTGGACTCCTTGCCAGTCTGGGGACTTGTTGATCAACTACATCAGCCACTTGATGACAGTATTTTAAACAGAGTCCTTCAGAAGTTGAATGTGAAAGTAGCTACAGAAACCACAGAAGAGCAACTTACTGCTGTGTTGTATATAATAGATAAGGTAAACCGTTTGGGGCTCCTTCTTGAATGACCAATGGCTTTTAGAAGTATGTAATAACACTTTTATCTGTGACAAGATCAAGATTAGAATCCACAGCAGTGACCCTGGGACACTGACTGCAAATGTAAAAATTAGAAATTGCAAAATCCCACAGTTGAGGGAGAATATCAGCCACTAGGTTACAATAATGACAAAAAAGTAAAAATCAAGTAGAAAGGTTAAAAAGAGCAGTCAGTATTAATTTTGCAATTGTACCTATAGCACAATATTTTCTGCTGTTTCACCTTCATTTAAGCCATACCCTCAGAGAACTATTTGTGGTTTCTTGGTTCCCAGTCCACGTGTGTTTTGATCTTAGCCCGGTTTGCTCACGTCTTCAACAGTTGGCTGCCGTCACCACACAGCAAACCGCGCTCTAACCAGGCCTGCAACTTTGTCCCTGCAGTCCATTCGTTACTGGTTGTTGCCACTTTGAAATGGAAAAATAAATAAAGTCAAATCAGAATTTTTTGGAGGGATTCAATAATCCCTGATTTATGAATGAGTGAAAAATACCACATGATTTCTTTAATAATGAAATCCCTATTAGTAAGCATATCTTTAGGTAATTTTAATAATTTGTGCCTTGGTCTTGGCAGTAGTTATTGGAAGGTGGGAAAATGTCTGAAACTTTCAGAATTGAAGTTCAGCTAAAACTAAAAATGTTAGCAGAGTGTTCAACATGAGGAAATTTTTTAAGCAGCCTTCTTAATGTATTGAAAAAATATATGATTATATATTAAAGTTAATGATATTAATTTTAAAATGGAAAATAGGAAAATAATAGAAGAGTTCACTTAGTGATTTATGGGAATTAAATAATATTTTTCTACTTGGTTCTGTGCATAAAATGCTATTTCACTTAATTTCTTCATATTAGGTAACAGATGTAGGTGAAAAGTGGCTGCTTGCTGATAAAAGTAGAAGTCTCTTCTACGAGATACTTTGTGCTCTGGCTAGCCCTAAACGCAAAGACACACGAGGGTATAGTCTCCTTGCTGAGGTGACTGAGAAATTTGCTTTTTCCCTGTTGACTGGGAAAAAGTGTGGATCACCAGGGGAAAAGTAAGTAAACTTGAATTTATAGTATGTTGTGGGACTATATGGCAAAATTTGGAATTAGTAATAATTTAAGTGAAATATTTTTAAAAAGGACTTGTCTATTGTTTAGTGTGTTGCATACATGAAAATGTGTTGCATTCTGTGGTAATCTTACAAAGCACTGTAAAGGCATGATGAGCTGATGTCTGGTGTGCTGATATGGGATGGGTATTGAGTAAGAGTCAGGAAATTTTAGACCTGTTCTTTCACCTTTAGCTCAAATATTGTATGGAAAATGATGTCTTATTTTGACTGAAAAAATAAAATGAAACTATGTTGTAACACTTACGTCAGAATAGATAAACCAAAATTGCTACTGGCATTTTTAACTCTGGCAGTCTCCAATTACTTGGCTTTGTGTTCTTGGCTTTGCTCCATAAATTTTGCTCACCATGTCTTTTTACACGTATCTCAAAATTGTTAGTTTTATCCACAAGCGTATAGCACCTGTGGTAAAGCTAATAGTTGACTATCAAAACAGATGGCTTTCTTGTATGAGACAGAGGCTCTTAAATAACAGATTTCTCCCACTGTAATCCTATTAAACAACTGCATATTTGAATTCAGAAAAAAAGTTTTTTTTTTTTGAGGATATAGGCATAATCTAGATTTTTATCTTCTATTAGAGAGGTATGTTTTCTTTCCATTTCTTAAATTTTACGGAGTATAAAGCCTTTCTTAGTATGTACTGCCATAAATACCAACATTGTCCAGAATCATATGTCCAGAAATTGCAAGTGCTGACTTTTTTACCCCCATTTCTTTGTAACATCTACTGGGTCAAAGAGTGAAAGCTCAATCATCCATTTAAATGCATCTCTCCCTTGTAGGTCCATCTCTGTATCAAGTTATAAAGATCAGTATTGTGAAAGCCTGGTTTACCAAGGAGGGACTTTGGTAGCAGATCATAACTACGCAAAGCTTGGAGGGGAAATAGAGAATCTAAAATATATAATTCAGCCCCTGTTCTTTTCACAGGCACTGAAGCTATCTATATGAAATACCATCAAGCCTAAACATGATGAAGGAACAAAGTATTACTTGCAAATATGTTTTAAGAGTCACTCTGTGACATAAAGCTCTATTTCACTTACCAGCCCTATTGTTTTTCTGTTTCAATAGAGGTAAAAATATCCTTGACAGCTGCCCGTACATTGCAATAATGGCTCACAACTGGTATCCTCAGCAAATCAATGGACACAAATTTGATGGAAAAGATGGGGATTTTATTCATGTACCTGAGCATTTATTAGAGGTCTCTGTTGTGTTGTCTCCTCCTCGAGATGAGAACTGCGAATCTGTACAATTCACTGAATACAGCAGCCAGCAGTGGTTTCTTACTGGTGATAAAGAACTTGCCCTAAGGAACAAGGTTTGAAAATAGTGAAATTTATTTTTGTACCACACTAGTTTGATTTAAATATTGAGCAAAGCATCTTTAATACATTAAAAATAATTTGCACAGTTTTGTTTGTGTTTCTGACTAAAATTAAGCACTGTCTACTGAACTTTAATATGTTACAGATTTTTTCTATGAGTTTGAAGGGTCAGAGTTCACGCCCTTTGAAAGATAACAATGAAGTCATTTACCGAATTTATGCTACGGGAAGTCGGATTGTCCCACAAAAGTCTCTATGTCTCCTTTGGAATCAAGCTGCAGAAAGGTATTTCATAAATCTGTTTAGTTTTTCAGCTTCTGTAATAAACTTGTATATCTGCCGTAGATTTGATAGCTATGATTAGATCATCTGCCATTATAAAATTGTTTTCATTTCGCATTTATGGCTTTTTGCTAATTCCTCTGGCCTTCGCACTAACACATAGAGCTTTTCATGCAACAAAATATGTAACTATTCCAGATTAGAAATGTATAAAATGACTTCTACTCTTAACTTTTTTCACCCAAATATCTAATTTAGATTATTTAATGATGCATTAGGCAAAGCTGAAAAGCAATAAATATCAGAATTGCTTTACTGTTTTAATATTAATGATTCTGTGTTCTTTGCAGTGTGTACCAGGCAAGGGTTCAAATTCATTCTTACAAAACTAAAAATTTAAATCCACGTATCTGGTGTTGTTTCAAGTCACAGACTTGAATTGTGCCTAATTTGCTAGCACCATTCTTTTCTTTGATTCTGGGAAAGACACTATGTAAGTGAACAAAAGACAACCTTTGCAGAGCCAGACCAGCAATATAAGTAGGCCAGTATCCTATCTCCAGCAGTGGCTACTTGTACTCTTACCAGCCATGGCACTCAGTGTATGATCTTGAATGACCCGGTACTTGATTAGGCTGTGTCTTTACTTTTTACGCCACATAGGTTTGTGAATTCAGAAAGATTTATGCTCTATATCTTGGTGAGATCTTGTTAGTTTAGATATCATTTCTTTCAACTGGTCAGATTATGTCAATCTGTCCTCAAAAGGGAGAGGAAGCAGAATTTACCTGAAGACTCTCATTATCATTGGGTGATAGCATACACTTAGTTTCGAGAGGAAGCAGAATTTACCTGAAGACTCTCATTATCATTGGGTGATAGCATACACTTAGTTTCTAACTAAAACATGCTTTAATATCTCATCCATAGTATGCCCTTTCCAAATCAATTCAGCAGTACTGAAACCAAATAAAACATGAATGTTAGGTTAAAAATAACAAATACCGACATGAAATGTTCTCCCTAGTGGGATATATAATTCTCCAGGGTAAATGACAGACTACTAATAAAGTCAGACAGCCTCATTTTTGTTGCAAAAGTTTTTTTAAAAAAGTCACAGATATTTTTACTGAAAGAAAATCTTCTTTATTATATATTCATAAATTTCTAATAATTAGTCAAAACAGTACTAATTCATTTAAATATCCATAAATTTTGATGTCTGCACCTAAGAGATATCAAAATACCATGTTTACATGCTATTTTAGAAAACTTGGCATTTCCAAGTGAGAACCACAGCTTTCAATCTTGCTTATCATTTGAATTGCACAAGTATTTTCCATCCAGTGTTTACTAGATGTATATAATTTGTTTTGGCAAGTCTGTAAATATTCCGATGTTGCCTTCTTTTTTTTGTTTTTGGCCTTGTAAAAAGGAGATAGAACATTCAGACTTTCTTCTCTTGCACTTACTTTCTTTTTCTTTTTATCATTTGCCCCAGGATAAAAGACAACTTCATCTTCTTGCTGTTCTCGTTGTTGTAGGTGGTTACCTGACAGTGGATACTGCAAAGTGGTCGATGACACGTCAGACTATGTGGAATGCTCTTGTTCTCACATGTCCATTTATGCAGTTTATGCCCAGACAGACAATTTGTCATCATACAATGAAGCTTTTTTCTCTTCTGGATTCATCTGCATTTCAGGCCAGTTGACACAAGATTTTTTTTTCTTTTTTTTTTTTTTTTTTTTTTTTTTGCTTGTGTTCAGTAAGATTGAGTGTTAGAATTGATGACAGTATTTTTAATTGGAGACATACTAATTAACTTCATCTTAGCAACAAGGAGTTGCACTTGGCTTGAATAAGTTTCCCACTGCAGAAAGAAGTCCTGCAGCGAAATCTGTTTCGTTTGTTTTTTTTTGTGATGTTTACTTGAAGCACACAAAAGAGAAATACAGCAATTCATTTTTGGAGAGAACTGTAAAATCCTAAATCCACCCTTGTCTCTAGCAGAGATATAGTGCTCCTCATGAACTAATCGTTTAGGCATTGTTCTTGCAATATTTTAAGATAAGCATGTTTTGTATTATACAATGAACTCTGAATCCTATGAAATTCTTAACACAGATTTTAGTGGTTAGTTATGAGTGAACTAAAGCAAACGTTTTCATGTAGGTTCATCTCTTTACAGATCCACTTTAGAAGGGGTTAATTGTCTTTATTATCTGGCATAGAATACGGTTTAAATTTCCCTTTTTTTTATTCTCATGTAGGTTTCACTTTGGCTATTATTTCCCACCTTTTCTGTACCAGATGTGCAATGTTTGCAGCTAAACTTCTCACACACATGATGGTTGCTTGCTTGGGTACTCAGGTAAGGAAGAAAAAAAAAGGCTGCCATTATATGTTTGTGTATATATATGTATGTTTGTGTGTATGAAAGTATACCTATGTTCCAATGTTTGAAGAGTATACATATAATTGGATAATTATCATACCATTAAATGTTTTGGATTTTTGCTAACTGATTACTGGAGTATGACAGGAATAACTTAAGAGAGTTGATTTAGCTTGAGAATTTATTACATAAAGGTCAGTGCTTTTTAATTTCTAAATGTAAAATGAAAATGTTAGTACTTAGCATTTTTATCAGGCATGTTGAAGCAGTAGTAGACGTTGGGTTCATAAGTAATAAATCTCACCCATTTTACAGCATGAAGGAAGCTGCTGTATTCTTATGTTACATTTAGGGTTACATACATAGACATGAAGAAAGAAGGTTGAAAAATTCCATGCTTTAAGATCACAACATTCAGGAAGGTTTCAATGAATAATTAAAGTATCTCTCAAATAATGATGTTAGAGAGAAAATATTCTATTATAAATTTTGCTTTATAAAAGAACTAGCACTATCTGTTTTGGTATGCACACTTATGTTTTTAACAGAAAAATAATCCATAGGATTTTCATCTGCATTGTTGTTAGATATGTACTTGAGTACTTTTTCTCCTACACCTGCACTGGATCTTTAGTTTTTTTTTGCTTTTTTTCCCCTCTCTCTACCTGTGCACTATTTATTATTATCTGTAGGTGGCAGTCAAGTCTTTACAACACATAGCTGAGAAACTTGCTTTTTCAGGACTGTGTCTACTCTGTGGTTGTATGCAGCAATTCATAGATTCTGATTGTAATGGTGAATTCTCAAAATCTTACCTTCCTTTTGTTCTTCTCTGTTCTTCTTCCAGTAATAATGGAGAATTTGTAAAGTATTCAGGAATAGACTTTGGTAAATTTAGTGTACCAAGTTTTGCGGAATCTCATTGAAAAGACATAAAAGGCTAGAGCTTTCTAAACATTTTTCTTTCTGATATTTACTTGAAGTATCTTGATCTCCAAAAGATATTATTTCTTGAGCCTTTAGTTTGTTCTATTGTTTCTGTTTCAACAGCATGCTTTTTTATTCAGCTTCATGCAGCAATCACCTAAAAGGCAAGAAACAAACAAACAAACAAGAACAGCAACAAAAAACCCACCAGGCTGAGATCTGGGGCTTCAGAGTAAATTTTGTTGGATTTATTTATTTGACAAAGTAACTTACAATATGAACTCATTTCACAATGCCTTAGTATATTCATTTGATTCGATAATATGCTCCTTTAAAACAAACAAGCAAACAATAACAACAAAAGCAATAAAGTAGCATCTTTTATTAGGGATTATTGCTTACAGCTCCTCTGTATTTTCCTGGGCATTCCCAGGCAGAGGCAGAAATATGTGAAGATGAACTGCATAGGTAGTTTGTGCTCTTGCCACAGCAAAGTTCACTGTGCATGTGTAGGCCTTTCTGCAGCACGTTCCCTAAATCCTATCTGTCTGGAAGGCCCGTAGCTTGTACATGGCAAACGTGAACATATGATAAGTCTTCCCTTTTCTTTTGTTGTGTATGCACTGTTTAATTGCTCTGTATGTGGGCAGTAGCCAGTTCTCTGGGTTACTGGAGCATCTACAGTCTGATTACAGCAGTAGTTGTGTGCAAATGGCTTTCAGTTCTGGTCTGCAACATGAGATCCCGTGAGTCTAACATTTTCAGGGAAAAAAAATATATATGGGAAAAACTTGGAGCTCTACCTTTGTCAAACAAATATTTGCAAATATTTGCTAATTTAACAAGTCTGCAAGCTTCAGTAGCACTTAGCATCATCATTTAGCTGGTCTATAATACTTACCAAGCCAGATTTGTCCCACCATTTTCTTTGACAGAAATGCATGAGATGCACTTACTGTGTTCAACTGCCTGAAAGCTGTGAATTATTCACTCTGAGAAGAAATATAAATATGTATGGCGGTTATATGATTTTTAAGAAGAAAATATGCAAAAAATCATATTTAGAAAAAAAGTTTATTTAGAATTAAAACATGTTTATTTAGAAGTGACTCGAAAAAGTCTTAAGAAATGTTTAACTTTTAAGAACTAAATTTCTAAGAACTAATTTGGTAGAATTGTTTTATCATTTGGATTTGTTCAGATTTGAAGAGGGTGGACAGTGTAATTCTGCCAGAAATACCTTAAATTTTAAGGATGTGATGAAATTTCTTAAGAGTTGATGCAAGAATCAGTTCTGAAAGACCTTGGCAATGAGGAGTTACACGGGAGCAATGCATAAATGGATGAAACTTGTCAATTGTAAGTGAGTAGGAAGAGAAAGGATAGTGTATAAAAGAGGATGGGAAGCAGAAAGGTGGAACCACTGTGAGGGAAGCCAGACTTCAGTCTTAGAATAACAAATACTGTCCTATACTACTTGCAGTGAGGCTGAGAGAAATACCCTTGAACTGTATTTCTCTGATTTTTAACCCTTCTCTTCCAAACTAAGGAATTTTTCAGTTTCCCCATTGAATAATTAAAACCAAAAAGAAATTGTTGGAAATATCTGGATAAAAAGAGTTTGAAAGACTATTCTTGAATGCAATGGGTAGGGTGATATCACCACTGGAACAGCTGGTACTAAAGCATGATTCTGTGTCAACCTCTCTCTAGACCGTAAAGATAAACTTTCAGGCAGTTCAATCCTACTTTGTGTTAAGCCTGTGCTTTTTAGAGCTATCCGATTATAAATAGTAGTTTAAGGGCAGTTTCTGACCACTGAGCTTCACTAAACTTCATGTCCACATGAAATATGAAATTCTTCTTTTGTTAGAGAGGAAGCAGGAAATACTTTTATCTATTCTGTACTGTGTGGTTAGAGCTCATTTGCCCAGTGTGGGGGAGTTTACTTTATAAAGCCTACTTATCCTTGAGACTCAGGATTCCCCCTTTCATTTTCTTGCTGTAACCTGATAGGAATAAACCTTGCCAAATGTGGAACTGATAGCTCTTCAGGAAGATAAGCGATCCATAAGGTCTGCGAGGGCATAGAGTATGCAAATGAGAACTAGATCCAGGCCATACCAGACATCAGACCAAAACTGGAGCCTGTTCTGTTCATACATTTTGTCCAGTTGCTCTTAAATGTGAAATGTTGTAGTAATATAAGAGGGGGGAGTAATAGATAATGGAAAGCTTTCATAATGGAAAGATTTGAGATAACAATGTCTAAAACTTATCATCTACCAAAGTAACTAATCAAATTTTCATCTACAATCTCTATTGCCTTTTACCATGGGAACTTGCACCTAACCTCTTCCTGCCAGTGACTCAACTTTGCAGATTTCATATTGAATTAGTTAATTATCTAGCTGATTGTTAGCTGGTTTCAGTCATTCCCACCAAGTCAGACCACAGTTTTAAGTTCGTGCAGCTTCTTTCAGAAGCAATTTTATCCCAGTAATAAGTGAAAGTATTTAATGAGTAGTTTATGTAAAACACAATTGCATAGTAGAGTTACCTAAATTTACTTGATAACAGAGCAATGGAATTGATGTTCAGGAGGGCTCTGAGAGCCCATTTCTATTACATAAACTCACTACTTGTGGGTCCTTAAGAACAGAATCAGATACAGCCAAGATGGAGAACTAATGAGGCGTTTGTAGTAGCAAACGTTGTCCTCGAGTGGTGGATATGATGTATGAGGTTCTTTGGAATCTGATGGTCTGATCTGAAGCACTGACACACACAGTCATCAGCATGAAATTATGCTCTTGAAGAAGGGTTGTTACTGTAAAACAACTGGCAGTTCTCTTCCCTGATCATCTAAATGTCATATGAGGAGCTAGAAAGCAGTTTAGTCACAAAAATCTCTTTGCTGCATCTTTCCTATGTTTTCAGTAGTGGGCCTCAAATTTCCTCTTTAGATACTGGAGGAACGTTTAGAGACTTGGCCAAGTGAAATTCCTATGGCAGAGATGCCTGGTATAACTTTGAGGTTTTCTGCAGATATTTAGTCTTGCCTGTGTCTTGGTTTTAAGGAGCAATGCAGATGCTACAGGAGGCCTTCAGGTCTCTGTCTAGTGGAGTTGTAAAAGCGCGAGAAAGCTCTCTGTCCTTGCCTTGTAAGAGAAAAGGGGAAGAAGAGCTCTAGCTGGCATGGCTTTCATCATCTAGGTGATGAAACCTTTAAGAACAAAATTTGAGATACTCCTGTGATTTTAATTTTATTTTACATTTTCTATCAACCAACACATAATTTTAACCTTTAGTGATAACATATCACTATTCCAACAGCAGAAACAGCAAGTTTCTGCTTTTGCTGTTCATAAGGATAATGTTACTTTACTTCCCTTGTTAACTTTTCTGATGTTGAGTCAAGATGTAGTGTTAGTGCACAAGCTGTTAGTATCTTCTTATAAATTATCTCCCACCATTTGCAAAACCCAGATATATGAGCAATACTATAGCATATGTTAGAAAGCTACTACATTATCTCACACCTCCTGTCCTCCTTGCAAACAGTCAAGTGTTCTCTTTATCACTTTAAAGCATAACTATATGAGATTTCTATCAGCTAATGCCTTCCAGCTCTTTTCATCTTTTTTCATTACACAGTATTTTTTTTTTTTTAACATCACAGACATTTGGGGACCACACACAGAGTGGAAAAGAGAGCAACACTCTTAGGGGTCCTAAACCTGTTCATCTCTTCCCACCTATATTTTAGCATGAAGCAGGGTGTGTTGTTTTTTGTCTGCTTCATACTATTTTCCACTCTTCGTATTTTCTGCCCACTTTATTCCCCCTCCCTTTCTTTTGTCCACTCATGTTTGCTTGTCAACTGTAGCAAAAATACAGATAACTATGGGTATCTTCTCCTAATCAGCAGATCTTTCATTGCTCATTTCCCTACTAAAGACTTTCCTTAGCCCTGTCACATAGGAGAGATTATCAGCAGTTGCTACTATCCTTAAATTCTGTGCCTAGCAGCCCTTGTGCAGTGCTAA